ATGGTGGTAAACATTTGATCTTCTTCTGAGTCTTTCAATTTCAGGTGATATTATGTAGATAAATTTTTCTCTGTTTCTTTATAGATATTTGAATTGTTTCTAGTTTTTGTCTATTGTGCTATAGCTGCTGCAAACATTCTTCTACATGTCTTTTGGCATATATTTCTCTTGGCGTATATCTAGAAGTGTGATTACTAGGTCATAGGATAGGTATTCATTTTTTGTTGGTATCTTTAAAGCTGATTTCCAAATTGTTAGAATCAGTTATACTCTCACTAGCATAAGGAGAGTTCTTGTACCTCCATATCCTCACCACTATTTGGTATTGTCTGTTTAATTCTAGCTTTTCTAATTAGTGTATCAGTGAGGTTCCTTAAATTGTTATTATTTTTACTATTTCTTGATTTTTTAAAACTGTTGTCATTTATATATAGTGAAATACATACAGCAAATTTGTATTTTGATCATTGAATTTTGATAAATGCATACATCTATATAATTACTATTACAATCAAGATAGAAGATTTCCATCACCATAGAAAGTTCTCTTACTCTGCTTCTAGTCAATCCCCCCAGAGGCAACCACCATTTAGTTTTCTGTCATAACAGATTGTTCTTAAACTTTCTGTAAATGGACTCATACAGTAGTATATACTCTTTTTTTTCACTTCACAAACTCTTTCTGTTATTTGCCTGTTTTTGTGTGTATCAGTATTCACTCTTTTTTATTGCTGAATAGCATTCCATTGTATGAATATATACAATTTACTTGTCTATTCATCTACTGATAGATTTGGATTATTTCCAGTTTATTGCTATTGTAATAAAAGCTGCTCTGAAGATTTGTATGTAATCTTTGTGTAAGCACGTACTTTTATTTCTTTTCAGTAATTATCTAGGAATGGAATGTCTGGATTATAGGGTAGATGTATGCTTAACTTTTTAAGATATTGGCAAACAGTTTTCCAGCGTGGTTGTACCATACCCACCAGCAGTGTATGGGATTTTTCGTTGCTGCACATCCTGGTTACTATTTGGTACTGTCAGTCCTTTTAGTTTTATGCATTCCATTGGGTGTGAAATGGTGGCTCATTGTGATTTTAATGTGCATTTCCTGAGGACTAATGTACCTTTTTCCTGTGCTTGTTGATTATTCTTACATCTTTGAAATGTCTTCCAGTTTTTTGTTCAATTTTTAAAAATTATATGTTTGTCTTTTTGTTATTGATTTATAGGAGTTCTTTATGTATTTGGTCAAATATATATATTGCAATTTTTGTCCTCTTGTCCGTGCCTTGCCTTTTCATTTTCTTAAGGGTATCTTTTGATGAGCAGATGTTTCAATTTTGATCAAGTCTAGTTTCTCTCTTTTCACTTTAATGATTTATGCTTTTTTATTCTAAGAAATCTTTGCCTGTCAAGGTTTTTTGATATGTTTTCTTCTAAAATTATTATAGTTTTACTTTTACATTTAGGTCTATGAACCTATTCAAGTTAATTTTTGTAT